CAATTACAGTTTTCAAGCATATGAATCGCATGCATTCATTGTAAAAAGTCTAGGGGTCAGTGGTTGAACGTAGCCAGACATTGTTGAAATTTCAAGGATACAGTTCTGACGATTTTGTTTTTTCGTCATTATGATTTTAATCATCAATATCAACTGAAAGGTGGCAAAAATCATATGAAAATCGTCGATTTCGTCAGAATTTTTATTGTTTGGTAATCATTTTGATGAATTAGTTATAATTAGTCATATCATTATCAAAACTATAAATGGTATTTTATCAAATTGAACTTTTCATCTGAAAGATCCCATTTGAGATGTATGAACATAGTCTTTTGAATTGTTTTGACATTTCCTAATAGTATTTCTATTTTGCTTGTCTCGTTTGCGCGCTCTTTTGAGCAACAGCATCTCGCTTCCAAAATGTCTGATCTTCTTCTGGTAAAAAATTCTGAATAGTTCCATATCTTTGAATACTTATTTTCAAGTANACTCAAATTCATTTATTCTATACTTGTATCACATATTATGTTTATGGAGGGTTCTCAATTGAAATATAATTAGTGAAGAGTCTGTTATACCAGGTGGCGAAAATTGCACATTATGCAACGATAAAAGATACGATATTGCTCGAATTATACATAAAATGTACTTTTAAGAATACAATGAAGTCATGTTGGAAAAAACATACTACCTTGAGCCTTTCTTGAAAAAAATTGAATTGTTGAATTTGGTTTTTCTGGTTTATCATACAAAAAGAGAAAAAATATATAAATGTTTTTGATTTCAATCCAAGAAGACTTCAATATGCACTCATTTCATTCTTCATTGGTCGTTTCGTTCACTTAAGGTCACCCTCATATTGTTTTCAAATACGGACCAGTATTTGAATAGCAAATTCAGAAGCCTCTTTCAATCCTACATCCATCAAATCGAAGCAGATTATTCCATATCTTGCTCAACACCAATGAAATGTAAAATATTTTTTCGTGTTTGCTTGCTTCACTCAAGAAAATTATTACGATATTAAATAATGAAGTTGAATAATGAACTTTTGACATTTTTCCAAGCACAATTGATTTTTCATTACTCATTACAGGCTTCAAGTTATTGTTCACTTCATCATAACAAATCAAGTACTTACCTAGATATATAATTCCAGATACAATCAATCAACTCGATTATGACAATGTTTTTTTTGGATGAAACGTCGAGAAAAAGTTGAAATTGGTGCAAAGGTAAATGCAGGATTGGGAGAGGTATAATAGGTTTAAAAAAAACAGGTCCGCATTGATGAGGGTGCCCCTTGGTGAACAAAACGTCGTGTGTAATATTTAATGAGTGCATGTCACAGCCTTCATGGAGTTAAATCGAAAGCCCTCATGATTTTTTCCATCTCTGGTGAAATAAAAATACTAGAGCGGATAAATCGAATATATGGAAAAAATGATGATTTTGTTGGGAATAATGAAGACAAGAACAACCGCTCTTCACCCAGAGTCCGATGGAATGGCCAAGAGGCACAATCGCGCCATAATCGTACCTCTCGATGTTTGTCTCCGAAAACCGAAGAGATTGGGATGAATTGGTTCCTCTCTTCACGTTGGCTTACCAGAGCTCTCAACATGAACCGACAGACTACACATCATTCATGTTGATGACCGGTCGAGAATATTCCGGAAGATATAACTCAGATGAAACTCAAGAGGTACCCCTTTCAGAGTACGCGAATAACTTGGAGAAGTGACTGAAAATTGTTCGCAAATTTTTCAGATTCAAACTACAGCTTTCCAGCGACAGGATGAAGATAAAATCGACAAAACGTAGATGTCGGCAGAAACCATGGCGAGGACCTCACTTGGTAATAAAAAAAACGAACGATTTGGTGTACAGAATCCAATTGTCACCCAGAATCAAGTCTGAAGTCGTCCATGTAGAGCGACTCAGTCCTTATATAGTCGTGATGTTACTACTTGAAATCTTGTTCGGAGCGAACAACCTCAGGAAAAGGGTTGAGTTTGTAAATTATCCCCTGAAAAACAACGCCGGCCGATGCTGTTCTTCTTCGATCGACTGCGACTTGGCCAGGGCCACCCTCAGCCTCGCTCATTATTCCACCGGCTTTCGAAGACTTCCACTGAGATATATAAACATTACCATGACGTAGGCAAAACTAGTTCGGAATATGCAATGAAATTGAGTTCAAGTTTTTGTGTTGTATAGTCAGTAGAGTAGTGAAAAAGTCGAATTCAATTGTCAGTGTGGTCAATTATTGTTCAACTAATGGGTTAAAGGTAACAATATTCACTAACTTGTTCAATTTCCCTGTATTGCATTCTTTTTTTTTTTTTAAACAATAATTTCAAGAGTCTGACGAGGTGTCTTCGCTCCTTTGTTACATTGCGTGCAGCAAAAGTCGCCGTTTGTATCTGACTTGGTTTTACTTTNCAGTGGATAGGTAGTTGCCAAATAGATCTGCGATAATCTTTGGATCCGTGGTTAAATGACCTTCATAAGAGATTTCTAATTGTTTCTGTTTTTTGGATTTCCCTGTAAAATTATTTGTGATAGTCCAGATTGCTTTGGATTTATTGCTGGATTTTTTTATTTTGTTGTCGTAGAATTCGCGTTTTTCTTTTTTAATATTTTTATCCACTTCTTTTTTCATTTTTATATAGTGAGTTTTAATTTCAATATCATCAGTTCTTTTCCTTAACCAGTCTAAGTGTTTTAGATTTTCTAAGTCCTTTTTCAATTTGTCTGATAAGATTATTTTATCCGAAAAGTTTCGATTTTTAGCTACCTTCCTTTTTTTTGAGAAGGCTAAATCAAAGCACCATAGAAAATTTCCTAAGAAGAGTTCGTAGTCTCATCTACATTGTTCATGTTCTCAATATCAATATGAAGAGTAATATCAGTTATTTGAGCGTGATGGTCAGATAGACCTGGATGAAAGTTAATTACTTTGGTTAGTTCAGGGTGACTAGTGACAACAACATCAATACATGAAAAACAAGTTTTGTTATTGATAGTAAAAATTCTAGTGTAATTATTAATCATAGATGACATTCCGAAGGAGCTGAAAATATCAGTTAGGATTCTCGATTCAAAGGTATATTTTTCTTGATCACACTTATTTTTGAGTTTCAACTTTTTTTGGATTTTATCCTCGTACTGGTTTTTCTTCATTTCTTCTTTTTTTCTCGTTGTTATCTTTCCATATCCTTCGTTTACTTTCTCGGGTTTCTGTTGTTCAAGTGATTCCATTTTAAACATATGGAATTCATTCTTGATTTTCTTTACTTCATCGGAATATAAATCATTTCCTTTGTCAAAACTTCGATAGAAGTCAACATATTTTTCCGCATTTCGGTTAGTTCTTTTATGTCCTCTTCAAGTTTCCTCACTTTTCGTTTTCCTCATTTATTACTTGTAGTAAATATGTGTTTTCTCTCATTTTGCTTATTTCTTCATTGAGTTCACTTATTGTTTGTTGGAATTTTTGGGACTCGAGTATAAAACTCTCTTCTGCTTCACAGACTTCGTCTTCAAAATCTTTGCTTCTTCTCTTGAGTTCTTTAATATACTTTTCCTTCTCTTCATTATCTCTTTTTAGAATTTGTATTTCTTTTTCGTAGTGTTCTATCCTATCAGAATCTTCCCTATCCTTCAATTCCAGTGCCATCCGCAAATGCTCTATTTCCTTATTCAGTTTAAGAAATGCATCTTCGTCACTCGGTATACGGCTTGTATTCATTACACATTTTTTTGTTTGTGAGGTAGTTTTCGGAACCTTCACTGCATTTTGAGAAGCGTTCTGGGATATATTCTGAGACCTTGTCAACCTTAGCAACATTGCTTCGAATATATTCTGTCACTTAATTTTTCATCTGTTGTTGTCTATGTTTTTCGAATATTATATAATATCGTCTGTCTATTATTCGAAATATTAGCAGGGATGTCACAAAATTGTTATGTTACAGATATTCCAGACAATGCAAATCGACCATTGGTGGTATGGAGCTCCGGTCTTCTGATTCAAGGTTGAATTGATAAAATATCTGTTGTTATTTGGTTCTTTTATGTGAACATGCAGTAAACAGACTCATTGAGATGACTTACTATTTGTTAACAGCTATGAGTATCCACGATGAACTAGACTTTCACCTATGTCACTTCAAAGAATTTTTATGGTCTTTATTCACTATTTTACACTGAATACTATGCTACCCAATGTTGGAGGTTGTTTCCCATTCCACCATGCAGTCTATATCTATCTGTTAATGTTGAATGAAGAAAGTCTCGTTAATATATGGTCTGAGAACAATGTTCATTAAATTTATTTATGTAAAGTAGAACTACCTATAAACTTTCTACACTACACCTTTCCTTTATTTTTATTATGCCAGTAAGAAACATCTTGCAACCTTGAATGTCTGTCTTGTCATTTTGATCACTGTTTAATTTTCGAGAATACAATTCAATGATATTGTAGAAATTTTTACTTTGTAACCAAAAATACATGTGCTTTTGGTCACGAGGGGGGTCGTCCGAAACCTCACCTAGCATCGCCATGGGGGTTAAAAAGTTGCAAAAAAACATCAGGTGATTAATAGAGTACTCCTTGTGATGTGTCGACCAGCCACTTTTAAAATGAATCTATCATAATACGATGAAAAATTTGTTTGCCTGAACTATTTCATCAATCATAGGTCTGATTCGATTTTGCTGCATATCCAGTTACAGAAGTCCCTTATTTTTTTCAAAATTATTGGGGTTGGACAGTAGGGCCCCACGGTATGTTAAATTATTTTTATACACTTTGCTATTTATTCCATGAACAGGTTGATAATAAAATTCAAGAAATTTTTTATTGACCAACAGGCCCCGTTTTATACTTGTGTGTTAACATCAAAAAACATATTATATATAAAAATAGTGAATTGTTTGACTGAACATTTCGTTAGATTACAACTGAAAGAAAAATTTATTTTATCACCTACCTGAAGATATTAAAAACACACTATATAATATCAAAATCATATTCTGCGGATATTAGCAAGATTAAGTTGAAATTATGAGTGTAGAAAACACCTTAAAAATCATATGATAAATTGACATTCACATGTCAGGGTTGCCACTCGTTATTTTATTTTCGTACTGAAATTTAGGCCATGTTTGGGGTAAACTTCCTTACAAGGATTATGTTTTGTGGGAAAAATAAAGAAAACGTTATTATACTCAGTCAGTCTTTATTTTTTTATCTTTAAATCACAACGTTATGCATTCTTCGACATTTTTACTTATTGATAATCAACATAACAAACCCTTATTTAAGAAAAAATATTAATTGCATCTTAAAAATACTTAAAATACGTGAGGTGTTCCATATTTTAAGTGTGCTATGTGTTTCTTATTTCTTACTTTAATGGATATTTTTATCTGTCCATAATATTTTGCATCACAGTCCTCACATTCAATTTCGTAAATTCCAGACTTTTCCGAATTCTCGACTTTGTCTTTTGGACTTCCCAAAAGGCTCTGTAGTATATGTCTTGTTTTAAAAACCTTCATACCTAATTCCTTTACTTCACTGATTACTACATAAGGACACATTGTAAAAATAAATTTAGATAGGCAATATTGTGAAATTAATTTTTTATATAGCTGAAAATTGTTTTATACATAGCTATAACATTTTAACATTACATAAGGACATATTGTAAAATAATAGATAAGGCAAATTGTGAAATTAATTTAGGTGTGGTATGCCTGCATGTGTGGTATACCTGTATAGCATAAATAGCGTTAGCTTAGGAAAGTTTCCAGTTTAATATTCCTCTTGAAGATGATCACTTGGTGATCGAAACACGTGTCGAGGTGTTAAAAATAACGATTTGGGAAAAAACAGTAATATTCATAAAATCACTTATTTTAAGTTGTTACCTAATATCACAATAGGTACTTAATATTTATGTAATAAACAAAGTAAGTCTCGAGTCACGACATGATTAGGCACGTGGCCGTATAGCCCATATTAGTTAGGTTAGGTTAGTACACTTTTGGCGCGAGATCCAACTTCAAAAAATTTTACATGGGGACCTTTTGGAGGTTTGAATTCAATATGAAACTACACAAGTACATAACTAATGTTAGCTCTTAAACATCTTGAGATAGATACCTTCATGATTTCTAAATGTATCAATGTCAGAACATCATTGAAATTCCCTTTTATAATTTTTTTATATTGAAATGAAACTAGTGATGTTCAAGAAAATTTCTATTGTCGTTTATCAATTCAGGTAAACGAATTCCGCTCCCACTCCACTACACTACTAACCTACAACTTAATCACAGCATAGGTAACAATTAGCATGGACACTTGGCCATGCCGCCTTTGATGTGGAAAAGTATCTAGACTCCATTTTGGGAAGTGACGATAAGAGGGCAGGACTCGCGAAATGGTTTTGGACAGGTTCGCACTCAAACTTTTTTATATCCAAATAAATGCTCATATAATTTTGATATATCTTACGGAATGGATCCAAATGCAATTGATATAATAATTCTTGTGCAGACATTCTAATTTCAGGCATAGTGATATGCAATTGAAGAATTAAAAAAAATGACTAGAAAATACATACAAAAAACTGTCACGAAAGAAAATGAGTGCACAGATTGATTTTCAATAGCACATATACAGTGTATAAAACCCAAATAGAATAAATTCTTTATTTCCGTTACTGTCCATATTTGAAAAAAAAATCCGAAATACATCAAATGTAAATTGAAATTTGACATTCTTCAACATAAACGAACCCCCTCTACTGACAGATACTTCTGACATGTACTTCCCAATAACAATCATCACTGAAATAAGTCAGTGAAACAGAATATAAAATTCTGTTAATGTCGACGTTTCGACCTTATATTTGGGCATCCTCGGTACAGTCAAATTATTATGAAAAAAACAGTAACATAGTGGTCTCAGGATTAAAAACATTGATTATATGAATAAAAAAGCTATACATGAAATTTCGAATACTGAAACTGTCAGAGATACCACACCAGGTGGATAGTTCATACACTGAACTCACCAACAAATAATATTTTTGATGAAAAGTACATTAAAATAATTTTCCGGGTATAATTGAGAGGCAGATAACTCATTTGAAAAAGTGAGATTTGATTTACTTCGTCTAATGAAAAGTATATTTCTCTCACAGCACCTCCTGTGAAAAGCATTATTTGAGAGATTATATCCTACAGGAATTGAGACAATGAAGAAATTCTGTTTTGAAAACAATAAGTATTTCTACAATAGCAATGTTGCTGTTTCCAAAAATAATAGGTAGCTCCATGAAAACAGGTATCAACTTAGTGAAGAATGTTCTTTCCTCTCTTGGTCCTTCGGGAACATGAAAAAACTTATTTTGGTATGCTGTGGCATAGGTAACAATCAGGAATGTCACTTCGGTTGCCGGGAGAAGTTCGCGCATATCCGTCGCGTTGATGAGTCCGCCATTTCGAGAAGTGACAGACTTTCTCATTCTGCTTTTGACTTTGCTCTTATAAGGACCCATATTATGTTATCTGTGTTCTGTGCGTATCGTGAATTTCATTTTTCAACATAATGGAAAAACTAATAGATGGTGGACACGTATGTGCTGTAAATAGTTGTAAAACTAACAGTTCAAAATCCAAAATAAGTTTTTTAATGTTTCCGAAGGACCAAGAATGGGAAGAACATTCTCCACTAAGTTAATATCTGTTTTCATAGAGCCTACCTATTATTTTTGTAAACAGCAACATTGCTATTGTAAAAATACTCAACCCATTAGCTCCCACGGTATGTTTAATCATACGTTCATTTGAGGTTAGGTTTTTGTCAACAAAGCTAATTTGACTGTTTTGTGAATCATTGTATTCATTCATTATGAACATAGTTGTAGGCTGAAAGTGTTGAATGTAACTTTGTGGAAATATTTTGTATCCACAGTAAGTTTCATCTGAAGTGATATATTTGTTTCAACAGAAAATGATTGGAAGGTGAGTTCAGATACCATAAAAAACCTTTGTTGTTTGTTACCTCCTGGCATATTTCACTATAACAGTTTATTTTTACTCTATACATCATATGATATTTGTATGTAAAGGTTTCGTTGGAGAAAATATGCTTTAGATTCTCGGTATGATATATCATACGATGGGAATATGGATGTATTTTATGATTTTTTTCTCTAGATCATTCTTGTGATCTATTTTTTCAAAATAATATTTTGACTTTCAGGTCAAAACAGTTCTTCGACCCATACGATCCGTTGGATGCTGAACAGCTCCTCAATTATTTGGAAGAACTTGACACTGATAATGATGAGTATCAGACTATTCAGGATTCAGAGTGCTTAGATATATTACTTTTCCTCCAGAAGACCAACACGATAGTGATCAGGAAGACGCCCTAAGCGATGAAGAAGGTCTACCTACTATTCGTGATATTGTCAAGGGTATCTTGAAGCAAAGTATGGAAGTTTACAGAACTATTCTTCAATCTGACGTCAGATATCATCTCATACTGTCCATACAGAAAAGGCTAAGCCTCGAGCAGTAACAAAGGTGTAATAAAGAAGTTAAACCTAAACGTAATTGGGAGCATGTGACTTTATACCATTGTCCTGATAAGCTTGGGAATCTGAAATATGAAACTCCACGTTTTGCAGAAAAATGCGCCAAGTAGACACCTGCCGAATACTTCAAGTATTTCTTCGACGATACATTTATGTATTTCATCTGCCAAGAATCAAATAGATACGCATTGAAAAAGGGTTTTCATAATGTTTCCGTAACTGTGGAAGAATTGTATCAATATTTTGCAATCGTTATTTTACCTGGTTACGTTCCAGTTGCATCCAGACGAATGTTTTGGGAAACAAAGGCAGACACTTTCAACCCACTTGTCAGCAACACGATGTCAAGAAACACATTTGAAAGCATCCATAGGTTTTTGCACTTTTGTAATAACGATACCTTTGATAAAAACGATAACGTTGCAAAAATGAGACAACTTATTGACCATCTGAATCGAATTTTTACTGAATGCATTCAGCCACTAGGAACACATTTTTCATTGGAAGAAGCAATGGGGCTGTATTACGGGAGACACAGCATGAAACAGTTCATACGCGGTAAACCGATTCGTTTTGGTTTCAAATTTTGGTGTCTGACCACTTCAGATGGCTATCTCATCAAATTTGAACCATATTTGGGTTCTGGTGATAAACTGAAAGGAAAAACGTTAGGAAGCAGTGTTACTGAGAAAATGTGTCTAAACTTCATTCCCAGGAAAAGCATCGTCTTCATTGACAACTACTTCAATTCTCTTCCTTTACTTGAAACGCTAAGTAAACATGAACTGTATGGTGTTGGAACAATACGATCCGACAGAGTAGAAGAAGCTCCCCTGAAAGAATTGAAAAAGGAAAAACGTGGATCTCATTTCACTTTGTACGACAAGAAAGCTAATATAACACTTACACGTTGGCATGACAACAGTCAAGTAAACGTGGCAACCAACCTGAATGATGAAAGCATTTCGAAAACAAAAAGTTCGTGCACGCGTTGGTTCAAAAAAGAAAGATCAAAGATTGCGGTGGAGCAACCATCAATTATAAATTTTTACAATAATGAAATGGGAGGAGTAGACCAATTTGATCAAATGCGTGGCCTCTACAGGTCTAAAATGAGGTCTAAAAAATGGTACTGGTCCTTTTTTCGATTTTGTTTGAATGGTGCAGTAGTGAACATGAGGTATTTGTATCGAAGATGTTCGACGAACGGGGCGATGCCACTGTTATAGATTCATAAGAATTGTTCTATCCATATTATCTTCCCCACCGACACGACCTTCCACACGACCCAAACCAAAAGTATTGTCAAAGATTCCTAACGAAATTCGATTGGATGGCAAAAATCAGTTGATCGAAAAAAACGAAACTCAAAGGCGATGCGCAAAATGTGGAAAATGTTGTAAATTTGTATGTCTGAAATGCAATGTCGGGCTTCACCCAGATTCCAGCTTCCGTTCATATCATGAGAAATAACTTTCTCATATGTTTCAATAAATGGTTTTTTTCCATTATTAATTGATTTTGCATACCTTCGATTCCTACTGTATGATATATCATACATCAAAAAAATTACACTTATATCTGTCAAATGAAGAAATGACAATATTCAATTATCAAAACTATTGTATATTCACACAACAAAAGGTTCAATTTAACTATAATTATTAATTTTCTACACCCGTACTCTAACAATACACTTATATGACCATAATCCGTTTCATAATGATATCCATTATGATACAGATTTTTCATAACGATACAGATACAAATATGAGTTAATTACTGTAAATGTGTTCAATACAAATATAATATTTACAGTTTTTCATTATTTATCGGGTTTAGAAAATTATTTATTATCAAAACTCAGAACATCATAATTCAGGATCTGGCGCCCACGCCATTACCCAACATATTATTCCCAATACCCCCAACCACAGAACCTCAATTGCTAGTACCCCTCTAGGCACTGTCAACTGTCAGGATCCTGTTAAGGTGCATTCACAACGTAGCATATATTACAAAAACAAAGGTGAAAGAACTCTCGAACGAAATATCAAAATTTACAGAAAAAAATTATTGTGGGCGTTAATGGGTTAATGTTTTCACAACAGAATTTGTTCATTGTCTTAATTCTTTTAGGATATACTCTCTCAAATAATGCTTTTCACAGGAAGTGCTGTGAGAGAAATATATTTTTCATTAGACAAAGTAAATCAAAAATCAAAAAAAAATCAAAGTAAATCCAATGACTTTATTGGACCCCACGGGACATACTTCGATGTATCCTTTTCGAAGCTCTGGTCTATCAGATATATTCCTCACAGTCGTAAGGGGCTGTGGAGAAACAATCTTTAGAGTCGTAGGGGGCTGTAGAGAATCAATCATTCCTCAGAGCCGTAGGGGACTGTGTGGTATGGTCAGTTTGTAAGAAACTTAAGTTTCTAAATGCATAAAATGGATGTTCCATTTACCGTAATTGGGGAACTGCAAAGTAAATCAAATCTCACTTTTTCAAATGAGTTAGTTATCCGCCCCTCAATTATACCCAGAAAATTATTTTAATATACTTTTCATCAAAAATCTAATTTGTTGGGAAGTTCAGTGTATGAACTATTCACCTGGTGTGGTATCTATGACAGTTTCAGTATTCGAAATATTCGAAACAATGGCAAATATAAAATGATCTGCAATCAATGATTCTGCTTCAATGTTTGGGTCTTCCTGCATAAGCCACATTAAACCAAAACTGCTGTTCACTGCTTCTAAGTTATTTTTGAATTCATCAATATGTTCCTTGCTGGGTTTTGCTATGGATCAAATAAATCCTCAGTTGTTATTTTATTTGGTTCTTCGATTTCTGTTGCTCGAGGAACCCACATACAAGTCACATCAATTCTTGAAATATTGGAGTACGCATGTAATAGCACACAAGCCATACGATGGCATACAAATTGTCCTCTGGGACAGGTGCAGGTACAGGCTTCAAGTTCACAATTGAACTTCAATAACACCTGTAAATACAATAATTCAATAAACAATAGCAGTTTCCAAAGTTGAGTGGAATAGATATAGGCACATATTTCATGTTATTACTGAATCCACACAGTCATATTTTTGTAGACAATCTAAAATTTTTCTGTTTGCAACTATGCAACTACTTTCAATATATTCTAGTACTATTGTTTGAACCAGAACAAACCTAATAGGTAAAGACCCACATAAAATTGCCATAAATATGCTTCCGAACCCACTCAATAAATAAAATGAATTTACTTTCTATTAAATTGTCTTGATTAGAATAAATTATTGGTTATGAATAAAAACACCTGGATATCATAGCTCTTGTCCCTCATGCTTGCTTTCACTTTTCCCTTAATGATTTTCAATCCTGCATTAAAATTGCACATTTCTAAATGTCCAGATGAAAAACTCTGTTCACCTCTTTGTATGCATTTCAAATCGTCATGAAAATATCATTGATTGCAGATAAATTTATTTATTTGCCATTGTTACTTCAGATTACAAAGTGATTATTACTACTGGAATAGAAGCTTGTTTGCGTTTAGTTTGGAATATGAAGATTACTATGAATTTATATTAATTACTGAATAGAATGGATGAACGTTGATTAAATTTCAGGTTAGTAGTGGAGTGGGAGCGGAATTTGTTGACAGTTGTGACGTTACGTTTACCTGAATTGATCTACGACAATAGAACATTTCTTGAACATCATTAGTTTCATTACATAATGAAAAAATTATAAAAGGGAATTTCAATGATATTCTGTCATTGATACATTTAGAAATCATGAAGGTATCTAGCTCAAGATGTTCAAACCTCTATAAGGTCCCCATGTAAAAATTTTTGAAGTTGGACCTCGCGCTAAAAGTGAAACCCTAACCTAACTAATATGGTCTATATCACAGCTGAGAAGAAAGAAGAGGAAACACAGAATCCAGTTTGTTTTAATAATGAGCATTTTCTTCAGATTCAAACCGAATATAAAACATTTTACTTCGAGTAGTTCCTGTCACTGTCATGAAAACTTATGCGCTATTTGATGAAGGAAGCACGGTTACTTTGATCACAGTCATTCCTACTGTTCCTACCCTCAGAGTAATAATATGACATAGAGTTGCCATGTCTATACCAATACAATACATGTGTTTTGAAACGGGTACCGTACTATCCTTTTCTGTACAACTTATGGACGAGGGGGGTGACGGGTTATGAGAGGCTATGGAGAGTTTGTTTACATTTGAAGTAAGTTGGACCATAAAACAGTGGCGGTTGGTTTAGTTGATAATAGGGGGGATATTAAATATTCATAAAATAAATAATTTCAAGTGAAAATGTATTTTTAAATAGTTCTTACAGGAAATCTGATTTATTATTGATTATGGAAATGAGGCAAAACGGTGTCGAATCTGTTATTGCTCACTCAACAACTAACTTACGTCACACAAGGAATATGATTTCCGTTTTGGTTTTTCTTTCTTTGCACGAGGCTCTTGCGTTGCATACAAATAATATTCAATAAGAAATGACAGTTGTCATTGTTTTAACCTTTTTTTTTGTTGGGATATGTCATATAATGTAATAATATAAACTTAGTTTCAAAAACTGTATTTATAAGAATAAGATCAAAAAAATGATCATTAAAAACATCAAAAATATCCCCTTTCATAATGTCAATCCACAAAGACCCCTATTTAACAATTTTGAATGAAATCATGATTTCTAATCGAACATTCTTTATATCGGACCTCACAAACCGTACCGCTTGTTCATCAAATCACAAATTTCTTCTGAAGCAAAGTTCATTACCTTTGAAATTAACATTTATCATTGTTATGAATTAGTTCATATGAAATAATTTAATTTTAACCCAGTAAACCACGCGCTTTATTATAAAGCCATATACATACATACCAGTAGGTGGTAGAAAAACTGGCCTCATTTCCATAATCATTAATAATAAATCAGATTTTCTGTAGAAACTATTCAAACAGATTACATTTTCACCTGAAATGATTTATTTTATAAATATATAATATCCCTCCGATTTTCAACTAAACCAACCGCCACTGTTTTATGGTCCAATTTACTTCCCGTAAACAAACAAAGTTATGCTGCCTTCAATGTAAGGATGGAAAAGGCCTCTCTATTGTCTTTTGTTACTCTGAGTTCCTACCTTAATACACGGTAATTTTTTCGCGATAGAACGGTAATCGCTCAGAACATCTCTGACAACACTGCATGTGTTTACGGAATACCGTGTCACTGTGTCATTCACAATTCACAGAGTGTCGTTGTGTTTGTGTTTTATTTCCACACGATAAGGAGAATTGAAGTCAAAAATAGTGTACAGAGACTAAATTTGTGTATTCAGAAATTAAAGATATTTTTGAAGTTCCGATTTTAGGGCAAATATGTCCGAATTCGAACCAATGGAACCCACGTTGAACAATATCATAAATCAACCCACTCTTAAATGGATTTTTGTAGGCGGAAAAGGAGGTGTTGGTAAAACAACTTGCAGGTTGGTACCATTTTTATTTCTATACCTTTATTCTCTGGAAGGAATGTATAAATTTGCCGAATATGAGGCCCTTTCTTAAGTCACAACATATGATTTCAGTAAGATTTCTGAGAGTCATGAAAAATGAGAATTAAATATTTATTCCTATGTTTTATACTACTTTTATTTGTAACTAACGTTACTGCAGTTTCGTCCTTCAAGGATATTTTCGAAAGAATAAGTGAATGTTACTTTGAGTTTCAGAATTTTCTCCTAGAATTTTATAACTCCAATAGGATTCATGCATCAGTCTTGAGTCATAAGAAGTCATAACCAGTTAATCATTAATGGAAACATTCATGCACCAGCATAGATATTGCATATACTTATATAATCAGTGTGCAGGAGTTTTAATTGCTGGTTCATATACCAAATTCATTTCAATTCATATTTTACTTTCAATTCAAGAAAATTGTCACAATTTAAATCAATGGAAGCATTCATACTTTCTTAACCTTCAGTAAGTTGTGTGGCGTAAGCCGTATGGCAGCTTTTCAGCTTGTCAGCTTTTCTTCATCAAAAAATGGCTTGAATTGATAATGTAAATAACTTCACTCACATATGAAAAACATATGCAATACATGTAAAAAAGAGATAGCTAATTTTTAATGCAATTGGTTCAGTGTGTTTTTTGATGTCCCACACACACACACACACACACGTTTCGAGCACTTTATGGAGGTTACCCTGCTCCATTTGTTATTTACCCTTGGACAAATGGGACATCTTTTTTTTGATTTTCACTATTACATTTACTCTTGCATTAGAGGCTTCTTTTTCCACTTTCTCCCCTTCAAAATAATTGTCCAAACAACTTTGCATTTTTTGGGGAATATGGATATCAATCTGATGTCCTCATTGTAGAGGTTCTGCTAATTTTCAACCTAATTTTTTTTTAATTTTAATGGATTAGAATGGTAATTATAGCTATATACTACTAGTGCGTTATAAGTAGCACACAACTTATCATTGATATCAACACCACTTTTTGTCATGTTATGAAATGTCAACTGTTCAGATTTTGTGGCATTTTGTGTTGCTATTGTATTATCTCTAGGTAGAGCCGATATAACTAATACTGATTTTTCTTTCTTTGGAACATAAGAAATTAAAGGTGGTTGATAATGTTTCATGATGCATTTCATTAGTTCGGACTTCCATTGTCTAATATGATATAAATCGATTTGAAATCCCTGAAAGAATCTGTAAAAAAATAAAAGAATTAGCTAAAAAATGAAAACCATATCAAACAAAAAAACTGAAATTACAATGAAATAAAATACAAGCAACAACCAAAAAAATGAAATAAAAAAAGTTGAACTATTAACACGAGATGAAAATTAAAAAATTATTAACAAGAAATGAAAATTAAAAATACAAAATTTCAAACCAAATAACTTCACGACGTTTCGATTGTTAGCATCCATAATCGTTATCAACCAAAGAAGATTGTTAATACTAACAATCGAAACATTTCATTATAATTTCAGTTCTTTTGCTTGATGTAATTGTTATTTTTCAGCTAAACTTTTTTACAGATTCTTTCAGGGATTTCAAATCAATTTATATCATATTAGACAATGGAAGTCCGAACTGATGAAATATAAGAAATTAAGGGTTGTTGTTTTCCAGAATCTCAACAATGAGGTGTTGATCAATTGTTTTTTACCTGCTTGAATTCCTATTAATGTGCGCGTGAAATCTTCCAACAAATTTTCAGCTAAAGGTATACTGATTTACCAATTATTATCTACTGTAATGTTTCGTCTCGAGTTTCTCACATAAGAAATCAAACGAATTACTACATTTTGGGGGGGAATTACTGACATTAAGTGGACCAATTGGTTATTTTCCCAAGTATACCTCCATTTTCAAATTATAAAAGTTCCTTGCGTCTACCAAGGAAAAGATTTTGATTCCGTACTTGTTTGATTTTGAGGGAATATATTGTCAGAAATTGCAATGTCCATGGAATGGTACTAACTGTTCGTTTATTGTCAAATATTTGCTACACTTATTTTGTATATGATCAAAAACTGTTCGTATTAATTTATCACTTTTTAGTCTTTCATTTTTTAGCTTTATCATCGATTCGGATACACCTCAGTATAAAAAGGAATAGCTGTTTGTTTATAGTCGTGTAAAAGAATTAATTTCCCATATCATCAATTGAAATTCAAATGATACACTCTCATAACTCTGCTTACTCTCCCTTCCTCTCCAAAAATTTTGTTTTATAATTGCTATAGATTTGTTTGTATTTTCCGCAATCAACTAAATAATAAATAAATCAAAACAGAGAAAAAATTGAATGGACGGTTTCACAATGAATTTTACAAGTCCTTTGCATCCTGGTAATTGAGTAATTATATTATGTTTTCGTATTTTTGGTTTAGTTGGTGGTCTTATACCATTTCGTAATTTTATCTTTCCCAATATAATAATTTTCATTTAGAACTATGAAATACAAATCAATTCACTGAATTTATTAAAAAAAAATACCTCTAAAGTGCGACATTGTTCCCTCTTGTTCATAAAAGAGGACATATGCCTCCCCATTTACAATCGATTTTGTTGAAATTAGGGACATATGTAAAAGGTTGTATTCGTGCTACGTGCCAGTGTATTGGTGTCTGCAATATGCTGTGCAATGCCCACTCTAAGTTGTCTCATTGTGATTTGNTTATCTATCAGATTAGAATTTATTTTAGTGACCAAGTCATTGACCTTTTTCTCCAGGGCCTCAATCTGTCTTTTCATAACTGGAACCAATTTGATACCTTCCAAGCATTCATCACAGAAAAACTTGAGTACTCTTTTCGTCTTCAAGACCATACATTTAATTTCAGAAGCAGTAAGATCAGCACAAGTGTAATGAATTCTTTGATGACATCCATCGCAAACACAGAATTGATCATCATTAATAGATTTTTCACACTTTAAACATGTCATGATCCTCTTTGAAATTTATTAATTCCACGACACTGTATACTGATAAGTATGTAGATATGGAATATTGTTGATAGTTTTTGCCTGGAGCAAAATAAAAAAGAAACTAAGGTTTTTATTGGTAAATTTCACGAATTTTGATAATAAATTGTTAATTATCATCAAGTTTCTGCTTCACCAATAACAGCCAAACCACTAATTATTGAATCAACTGAACCATCACTATTGATATTATCCAGTTGCACAGAATTTTCCAAAAACCAACGTATCACCAATGAAAATTCATCAATTTTTAAGGAGCCTACAAAAATGTGTAGCTCTCTGATTTCATTCACATATTATATTATACATAAGTTTATTGTATTAACCACCAATATGTTTCTAATAGTGATGAATGAAAATAACTGTTCCAATTGTTGAATTAAATTGTTACTGGAAAATGGTATGTGACAAAGAAATTGACGTTGAGTGATTTAACATGTTTACTGCTACATTTGGTAAGTACAGTGCCTAAATTAACACTCACCCACTTGTAGAAGACACATAGTAAAACATGTATATAAAAACAAAAGGGCATTGCCAGATTCATCACGAACAACATGATCGTGTGAAATTAAACATACTAACCCCAATTTGAAGGGTATTTGATAAACTAACCCCTAAAATCAAGTAAAATTATTTTGCATTTATCACTGGTTAGTCTCTATTTCCATTGGAATGGGACACACATGTCACATGGATTGTTTTATGGTGGAGGTAGAAGTTTTGATTTCCACTACTCAAGACAACATCCTTTTCTGGATATAAGCTGAGGATATTTTTGATCAATCCAAGTGTGCCAACCTTAAGATGAGTTGGTCCATCTTTCCATTTATACTTCTAGTATAGCTAAAAATGTATTCTTTTGTAAAGCATAAATATCCAAAACTGATAGGGAGTGATTGGATTTAATTCACCGAGATCGTTGCATAGAGGTCTTGAGTTCAAGATTCCTCAAATTTGATTAGTTAGTGAATAAAACTCCTTATAAATCAATTGTTTATGCAACATAGCTCTGTTCAGATGATGTTTGGTATTTTGCACAACTGCTTCCCATAGACCATCAAAATTTGTCATGTAAGGAGGTATGAAGTGTCATTTTTATTGTGAATAAAATCATCATCGATGACATCACTACAATCAAGCAAAAATTAGCGTCATTCTTTCAATTCATTGCGAACACCCATAAACATCCCATTATCTGAATAAACATAACTAGGAATACCTCTTCTAGAAGTGAATCTTTTTGAGACAAGATAGGAAATTTTCTGTTGAAATACTAGTGATTTATTCTAATTGAATCACTTTAGTGCAGAATTTTCAAACACATAGATGTAACTTTTGAATTCTTTAGACACACGCTCTAGTTTATTTAAAAAAATAAAAGTCCCAGAATATTTTACTCAAGTAAATTGGAAGGACCAGGTGGGGTTCACTCTGTTCTCAAACAGACTTAGCATTGAAACAGTAAAAAGTTTAGATTTCAACTTGAGCAATGTTAAACAATTATTACCTATTTTTCTAGACATATTTCGTCTTTTCAGTGACCAATGAGTTTGTCTGATTAATGCTGAAATTAATTGAGGACCAGGGTATAACATTAGTTCAGAAAGGTTATGAGTAATATAGCTGCAAGAGTTCTGGCTCATTCCTTATGGAAAAACACGTGCAAATTTGAACAGGTCCATTCTGGCGATTTTTGGACCTCAGACCCAGTTCACACGGACGGGACAAAGGGCCGTTTAACGAAGCTGTAAGGTTTTAACGTGCGCTCCCTCAATGTGTCTCAAAATACATAATTTAACGCGTTTCGCTAATCAAGTAAGCATCATCAGGAGATGACTTAAGTCCATGTTTTGTCATATGAAAGTTCATTTTGCGAATTTTCGGACTCGTGAACATAACCTTGTGGAACACTTTGCCTAAATTATGATACAGAGTAGTTGAAATATAACAATTATATTAAGCAAAAA